TCGAAATGTAAAGGAAGTGTAAATCTCTCTCTCTCGGGCCAATGTTTAAGGTGGAGGGGCATTTCCGTAATAATCAGATGAATACACAGTGAACTGAACTTTTCTCTCTATGCTTCGCCCTTTGGAGGACCGGTAAGCCATCAGCGTTTTGCGTTTGCGTTTGACCGCAAATGAGGAAAGTAGCTCAGATCTAATTATTCATTAAGTTCAACAACAACTCTTCCTCAAATCAGTCAGTTACTGTAATTTCAAAATTCAAAACCAAACAAAGCAACAGCTTTTACCATTATGTTCTTTTGAGTGAACATCATCAAGATCACAGCTTTTGTGCTGAAACACGCACTGACACACAAATTTCGGAATTTATTATTACGGGACTGATGAATACGTCTCCTGTTGTCATAAGGCTTGAGAGTCGGTTCATTGAAGGATTTACCTTGAGGATCATCACTATCACCAACCAACAAGCAGTAGCTTTAGAAGAGCCATTCTAATGAACAAACCGTTCTTTGCTTGTCTGAAGTAGGCAGCTCTTGGGTCAGCATCAACGTCTGGAGTAATCTACTCGAATTTAATTACAGAGATGAGGATAGTGTCGCGGTTTATATCAGGAGTAAGTTAAAGAGAAAAGAGTTTTCATAACTTACTTCATCCAGTCTCGGTAAAGGGTGCATGATAACAGCTTTTTCCTTCATCACTCCTAGCAGATCCTTGTCTACGATATACTTCCCACGAGCTGCTTCGTAAAGGTCAAGCCTTTCTCCAAATCGTTCTCTCTGGATTCGGGTTTGATAAACTACATCGCACTTGGATGCTACTTCCATTAAATCTGAACTTTCTTCCCATTCGACCGCATTTGATGTCAAATAGTCTTTTATATCATCCTACCACCATTAACAAAAAATAAACATCTTAAAGAGGATAAACAACAAACGAAATTATGTTTTTCGAATAAATTTATCCATCTTCTTCAAGTACTCTCAAGGAAGGTGGGAAGTTTAGTTAAAAACAAACCTTCATCTTAACAATTTCAGGGGAAACAAAGTAGATCTTCACGTCTTTGAATTTGGCAAGCAAATATGCAAGTGACCGGACTGTCCTTCCGTTGGCAAGATCTCCAACTAAGGCCACAGTGATGCCATCTAGTTTTCCAATTTCACTTTGGATGGTATAAACGTCCAAGAGAGCCTTCACAACAGCAACAGTACCAGACAGAAGAAATAAGGATGTAAAAGGAGAATATTAAAGAAACGACAAAAATCTAAAACACTACAGGTTACCAACTCAACACACCTGAGTCGGATGCTCTCCAGGACCATCACCTGCATTAATTACAGGTATATTGGCAGTAGCTGCAGCTCTTCTAGCAGCACCACTTTCAAAATGACGCATCACAATTATATCTGAGTAGCCCTCCACCGTTCTTATAGTATCTGAAAATGCCCCAAATTTTGCGTAAATTAACACAATCAGCATGCCAAGTACTAATAAGATACTAGCTGGCAAAATTGAATACCTTCAAGTGTTTCCCCTTTTGCCGCAGACGAAAACTCTCTAGCATTCTCAGTAGTTAACACTTCACCTCCAAGGCGTTTCATGGCAGATTCGAACGAGAGCCTGGTACGGGTAGAAGGCTCATAAAAGAGGGTAGCCATCAAATAGCCCTTGAGTATTTCACTTTGAGATGAGCTCTTTTCTATCTTTTCCATTTCGCGTGCGACATCAAATATAGCACTTAGCATCTCCCTATCAAATTGTTGCCCTTCAATCACATCACTAAGCTGAAATTTCTCCCCAGTCATAAACAAATCCCTTGTCCCAACAGGCATAGCGTGACACCTGTTTCCTTGGATGGGAGCAATACTTCGAGTCAGATTCAGAGTAGCATTTTTCTTGAGATCCCTAGAGGCAGGAAATGAAGTTAAGCAAATCTTTGCACTTGCGAAAGGGCTCGACAGATTGCTTGGGAACTCAATGCTGCAGGCTAATGCTTTGGGGAAAACTGAGGCCCCGCAAAGTGTGGCTGAAGTAAGTGATGATGAGAAAGACATTCTGGCAGGAAGCTAATTCGTTTAAGGGAGGTACTGAGATACAACTTCCAGTATCTGCTACGATCACCTAAAACTGCATGTGGAAAAGATGCATTTAGGTTAAGAACAATCAAAAACCAACAAGAATCCATACTTATCTTACATAACAGAATACAGGGACTCCCTCAAAACATCGAAAAAACAAGCAAAATGAACTACCAAGTGAAACATAGAGATATTTGGTATATTATCAACTTTCTTCTGCATATTACGGAATTAACCATGCTTTTTCACATTTGTTTCCAAATGATTTTTCTAAGAAACCAAACAACACTTAAATCCTGAATACAAGTGTACTAGTTAGAAGAAGGAAGTTTCTTCCGGCTAAACATAAAAATTGTATCTTTCATGGAAAACAACAAAATCAAAACTTTGGTTACTCTATCAAAAATATTATACCTTAAAATCTCAATTATGATAAGAGAATGTGATGTAGCAACAACTTATCATATTCCGAATTCCGAAATAACTAAATTTCAATTTCAATCAAATCATAAACCAAAATCAGAAAACTGATCCGCATAAATTTCTAAACCTGCACGGACCTAAAAGAGCGCTTGAATCAGTAGGAGCAGTCAGGTGGGGAGAGAGTGTAGCTGATCGATGTAACGCCGGGAGAAAACCCGACGGCGAGATGAACAAAAATAGAAGAAATCAGTTTCTTTAAAGTCGGAGATTGACGACGGGGGAAACGCGGCGGCGGCCGGAGGAGCGTAGGGTTTTAGAAAGGAAACTAGAAATGATGATTTCGAGACGAAATTGGAATTGGGGAGGGAAAATAAAACGAAACGGATTTGGGAAAATTTAATGACACTTTTTAATGTCTGATTTCTTTTTGTTGGTAATAAGCTAACAAATTGGGCTTCTAAGGCCCAAACCGTTTCCTCTTCTCCTCCTCCGGTGAAGCCCAACTAGAAGAAGCTGTCATTCCGGCTAATCAAGTAGTCCTGGTTTTATTATCAATCAAGTTTTTGGATTCTGCTGGTTTATGTTCATTCATATATTTACAATCTGAACAAAACACAACGAAAAGACAAGTGTTATGTGTAAAAAGAGAGAGATCAAACCCTAAATCCTAAGCCCTAAAAGCACACATGATCCTTTTACATCAAGAAAGTGACTCTGAAGAAACCCCCTAGGAATATATATATACAACAAAGATATGTCCCATCTCTGAAAATTAATCTCAATTAACCTCTGGTATGCTCTGCAAAACCGGTCTCCAAGAACGTTGCAGCTGATTGGTTTCTTCATACTGATTGATCAGATTTGGACAGGAGAAAACATGTTGATGAAAGGTGTAATGATCGAGGACGTTGACTTTACTTAGTAGATCTTGGAATTCCTTCTTCGTGAGCCTGATCTTGATCTCATGAGATAGATCAGATGACTTACTATCTCCTTTAACAATTACTGTTTTGGTCTTATTGGAGGTTTTAGAGCTATAATGATGATTATGATGTTGATAATCTTCATCTTCTTCTGTGGTGAAATCATCCCAATCTTCACCAGCCCAATGCATTTCTGATTCGTGCCTTAGACAATTCCCCATTCTTTTTTTCTTTTCTTCTTTGGAGGCAACTGGTAAAGTAGTAGCT